AGTAATCACTTAGTGAGGCATAATAATAATGAGGTGAATTTTAAACATAAATATATCATCATCTATCCACATAAAAATTGAATATTTCAACTCATGATAAATTTCATGGTTTTGTAAACGTAATGTCGATACAGTAATTCACAAACTCATTATGAATTACGTGGGGTAGCACACATAGTGCCAATACGGAAATTCATAAACTCATTATGAATTTCGTGAAGTTGCACACATAGTGCCAATACGGGAATTCATAAACTTATTATGAATTTCTTAGCCTGCACACAAGTGCCAATACAGAAATTCATAAATTTATTATGAACTTCTTAAGTTGCACACACAGTGCCAATACGAAAATTCATAAACTTATTATGAATTTCTTATGTTGCACACATAGTGCCAATACAGAAATTCATAAACTTATTATGAACTTCATAAGTTGCACACAAAGTACAAATATGAAAATTCATAAACTTATTATGAATTTCTTAGGTTGCACACATAGTTCCAATACAAAAATTCATAAACTTATTATGAATTTCTTAGGTTGCACACATAGTACCATTCAGTAAGTGCAATACATTAAGCAAAATGCATCTATAATTATCATAGCATATAAGTACATAATAAATGCACTCACCTGGTTTGCCTCGATATTATGCCCAGAATGTAAATCCAACTAATTGACGACTTTATCCTTGCATTTCTATTTGCTTGACTCAGGAGCTTGATTACGATCTACACAAGCATCCATAATCTCACATACAATACAAATATATGTATATTTTCTAACATTTATACATAATAATATTACTCAAAGTACTATTATTCTTGAATTCTAATAAAGTATATCCTAACTTAAAATTCCAAGATGAATAGTATCGGTACCCATCCTATGTATCAATAATCCCTTCAGTATCGATACCATTTTTGTATTCTGGAATCTATTTTTCAAAAATGGTATCGAAACCTTCCTCTTGGTATCGATACCTTCCTCTTGGCATCGATGCCCCCACTTCAGTACCGATACCACTTGCATAAGTATCGGAAATGTTCGTTGTGTGTTTATCCTTTTTCCTCAAATTTACCCTTATAATATCGGTATTGTTCTTCCAGTACCGATACCGTTACCCAGATTTTACATATTTTTCTTTGATTGCTATCACATTTTCACCTAAATCTCTTACTTTCATCCCCAACTATACCATTAAACTCATTATTACTTAATCTAACTAACTTAAATCCACAAATCCTCTTATAATATCTAAAATCTCCAAAGAACACTCAAAACTAAGAATCACACAAATTTTTCCAACTTGTTTTTAATAACTTTTAAAGCTCCCAATCTCTTATTCACTTCTTTGTTAAGTTAAAAAAATGCCTTAAATCTTCCATAACTAACCATATTCCATCAAATCATTTAAAAACCCATTTTATGAAATCTCAAATAAAACCTTCATCTCTTAGTTTTAATCTTTCTTAAACCTTCCTTAAGCCTCTATATTACTTAAGGTTTCAAAACCAACCCAAAAACGAAAGGAAAACCCAACATTGATGAATCCTTACTTTAGCTATTGAGGGCACGAGACGTGTAGAAGAAGAAGAAGAGAGAACTTTCAGATTTTTCCTCCTAATTCTCCTATTCACTTTTTTAAATAACCCCAATTAAATGAATATTAAATTCATTCCATCTAAAGGACCAAATTGCCCTCCATTCTTCCATTCTTACTAATAAGTCTCAAATATAATTTCCTAAATCATTCCTTATACTTTTTAATTTACTCAATTTAACCCACAAAAATTTAAATTCTTTCACTATAGTCACCTACCCGATATTTGGGGTATTACAGTTTTTAAACAGTCATTCTCGCCACACACGAATAAAACCATGGACAAAATATCTAAAGCAATCATATAGAAAGCCAACAGTGGTCGGAGCCATGTTGAATTTCAACATAAACATCATATTACAATACTTATATGCAAAAAAGGATTTCAAGACTACAAGAAATCAGTTCCTACAAAGAAGAAACCTTGATTAAAACGCATAAAGATACATCACATTGATCCTGGTAAATGTTTCACAAGTTTTCATTTCAACACATTTAATTATTCACTACAAGAAATTTCTACTATTGTGACAAATTTAATTTTGTTAAAATTATTTTTATCACTATTAGTAGCTTTTTGGTGACAAAATAAATAATCATCGCATTAAATTAAAAAAAAGATATACAATTATGACAAAAGTTAAAATCGTCATAATAATTTGTCACAATTAGCAAACATGTGTAACATATGGTGACAAAATAAATTTTATTATAATTTTTTATCACAAATGTTTCCCTCCATTTTTTTGCGCCAAATTAAAGACATACAATGTCAAATTTTGTAACTAAAAGTTTTAGTAACTATGACAGAAAAAATTGTCACAACAAATAATGAGATTTAGATTTTTTGCGACAAATTTTGTTTGTAATTATATATTTTAATTATAGTGACAAAATGTATAGTCACAAATAATTATCTCCAATTTTTTGTCCAAAAACATGTTTTGTAACTATAAACTATAATTATTGTTACAAAAAAAGTTGTCACAACAAATAATGAGATTCAGGTTTTTATTTAAAAAACAATTTTTGTCGTTTTATGTTTTAATTGTAGTGACAAAATATATTGTCACAAAGATTTCCCTCCATATTTTGTTTTGCGCCAAAAAAGTCATATAGTGACAAATTTTATAACTATAAGTGTTAATAATTATTACAAAAATATTGACACAAAAAATAATATTATTCACGTTTTTGTGACAAATTATATTTGTAGTTATAAATTTTAACAATAGTGATAGCATATATTGTCATAACTATTTTTTCTCCACTTTTTTTTCAAAAGTTATATTGACAATTTTTATAATTATAATTTATAGTTATTGATATAGAAAAATTATCACATCAAATAATAAAATTCAAGTTTTTTGTAATAAAATATTTTTGTACTTATATATTTTAATCATTATGAAAAATTATACTAACAAAACCATTTCTCCCTAGTTTTTAGTGTCAAAAATGTTATAGTAACAAAATATATTGTCATAAAGATTTTTCTCCACATTTTTTGTGCCAAAAAATCATATTGTAACAATTTTTGTAACTATAGTGTTTATAATTATTACAAAAAACATTGTCATAAAAAATAATGGTATTCATATTTTTATGATAAATTATACTTGTAGTTATAAATTTTAATTATAATTTATAGTTATTGTTATAGAAAAAATTATCACATTAGATAATAAAATTCAAGTTTTTTGTAATCAATTATTTTTGTAGTTATAAATTTTAATCATTATGAAAAATTATACTATCAGAAATATTTCTTCCTATTTTTTGGTACCAAAAATATTATATAATAAAAGTTTTATAGTTATTGTTATAGAAAAATTAAAACAACAAATAAAATTATTTTTTAATTAATAAATGATTCCTAAAGCTAGGGGGCTAATGGGTAATTATCCCACGAATTGGTGACTGAAACACAAAACACGCTATAGGTCTAAAGACCCTATCGCGATTTTCTCCAAAATAACAAAATAAAATCTATTCCTCCCTTAATTTTCAATCTGCCCGATACTCAACCCTAACATTTCATCTCCCTCTTCTCTTCACTCACAGTGACAGCCCCCTCACCTAGGGATGGCAAACGGGCGGATCGGGTGCGGATACCCCCTCCCCCATCCCCATACCCACCTAATATTTTTCAATCCACCACCCGCCCACAACCCATGATGGGTACAAATTTTCAAATCCACACCCGCCCACGCGGGTACATTCTTAAATCCATCCCCACACCCACTACCCACTAGCGACGTACCCGTCTAGACCCGCATGAAAGCAAACTTAAGTTATATATAAGCAACAAACATAAAAAAAATATTTCCATTAAGAAACATATCCATTAAGAAACATAATAAAATAATCCAAGGATTATCTGAGTTAAATTTTAATATAGATCTTAAAGTACATAAAACACCATAATAAAAGACATAATTAAAGTTTATAAACATAAATGACAAACACATAATATTTTTGTTATTTGGCACAACATTCTAAAATTTCAGGCAATACTTGTGACATCTGATACTCCAGTATTACAATCATCATTCTCTATTTCCTCTAATTGAGAGCGCTCCAATTTAAATTCACTACTACCTACATATATAATAGAAAGTGGGCGGGCGGATGCGGGGTGGGTAATGTCTCAAACCCATTACCCGCCCACTACCCGTGACGGGTATCACTTTCTAAATCCACACCCGCCCACTACCCGCTAAAATTATACCCATCCCCTCCCCAATTGGAGCGGGTGCGGTGTGGAATCCACAAAACTGTACCCGTTTGCCATCCCTACCCTCACCAATGAACAGAAGCCCTTGACTCTAGGCCACCGGATATGGATGGCCATTTCTACTCCGACCGAATAACTCACAAGATGTAAGGAACGCCAAGAAAACAACCCTTAATCATCAATAAGACCCACTATAATTCCTCTCCTCGACCGAGAACCAAGCGACGGAACGACCACTATACACGGTGGCTCTCCGACCCCAAATCAACACCCACTACCCTATCTCTGACGACCTCATTACCCCGACGAACACCACAGCAAGGTAACCTTACATCCCTAACTTACATTTATTTTTTTAGACATTATGGAATTTACATAAAAACAAAGAACGAAATTGTAAACTAGGAACGAAATAATAATTTAACAAGCATATCGAACACCAAAAAAAAATTAGAATACCTTGTTGATGGTTGTTGCTTTCACGCGAATTCTTTCATGGAGCTCAATCTCTCGCGTCCTTTGCTTCGAGCTTGTGAAACATTGGGTTACACCAAGCCTTCCCCTATTCAGGTCTTTATTTTACTTGATTCCATAATTCTCGCTTCATTAATTGAGTTTTCATCATTGAGTTTTTGGGTAATTTGTTCTATAGGTTGCATTTATACCCTTAGCCTTGATTGGACGCGATATATGTGGGAGTGCAGTTACTGGTTCTGGGAAGGTATATTTCTTTTGATCTTCATCTCTTTCTGTGCCATTTATTTGCAATTGAAGATTTGATTTTTATTGAAAAGCTTTTAATTATCCCATAATGCAGACTGCTGCGTATGCCTTACCTACACTAGAAAGACTGTTATTCTGTCCTAAAAGGGTTTCAGCTATACAAGTGCTAATCCTTACTCCTGCTAGAGAGTTGGCCGTTCAGTAAGTACTATAAAATCTTTTGAAGATTTTCAGCTCTCTATCACAGATTTATTCAGGATTTTGCTTTCTTTGTTCTGGCATAGTGTAAGTAAACTAATATATATATTTTGTAATGGAATTATGTTATCATAAACGAGTGAACTGGTGTTTGCATTTTACTAGTTTATTGGAAATATTTCTAAGTCTGTTTGTTCGATCTTTTTATGCTTCAGTTTGTTGAAAACTAAAAATATGGTTCATGTGTATTTTTGGAGATTCGTTGAGGTTTAAACCTTATTCTACATTCATTTGTTGCAGGGTTCACAGTATGATAGAGAAACTTGCTCAGTATACTGATTTGCACTCATTTTATATACAGACAAAAAGTTATATGTCCGATCCTTTCAGCACTCTTTTTTTAATTGTTTCTTTAACTCAGTTGAAACTTCCTCCACTATTGTAAAAACACTATAATCATTGATCACCCTTTCCATTTTCTTAAATATTTGATTGTTTTATAAAAAAAAACTTGTTTATTTTAGGAAGCTGATGTCAACTGTTTGTTTAATTATTTGCATTCATATGCTTACATTTTCTTCTTTTATCTCATGTCATCTCTATAGGCACAAGAGACAACTTTGAGATTGATGCCTGACATTGTTGTGGCTACTCCTGGACGCATGATAGATCATTTACGGAAAACAATAAAAAAATTGTGACAAGTAATACCTTCACAAGAACAAATTGTAACAAAATGATTTAGCCACAATAACACATTAAATTTAAACAAAGTAAAAACTTATGTCAAATTTATTTCGTCACAATATTTTGTCAAAATAAAAAGTTGTGACAAATTTATTTAATAAAAATAACAATTTATAATAAATATTAAATTCTTATTATAAAAAATTGTGATAATATTCTTTCATAATAACAAATTGTAACAAATTATTTAGTCATAGTAAAATGTTATAAAAAATATTTAGTGACGAAATAAAAGTGGCGAGAAAATAAATTTTGTTGTAATATGTCTTTTTTTAATGAAAACTTTTTTTGTTTGATGTTATAATTTAAGTTAATTGTGATGAAATTTACTTTTTGCGATAAAATAATTATTTTATTTTAACAAATATTTTGTCTCTGTAACTTACATTTAATGATGAAATAACAACTGTGACAATAATTTTTGTTGCCTTATGTATTTTCGTCACAAAAACCCTTTATATTTGATGTTTAAATATAAGTTAGTTATGATAAAATGTACTTCTCGTGATAAAATAGTTAATTGATTGTGACAAATATTTTATTGTGATAAGTTAATTATAGTAACGAAATCTCATTGTTACAATAAATACTATACAATGGTAACGAACACAATTTTGTCACAATATACTTTACATGACAAGGTTGTTCTAACAAACATGGTAACAAATAAAGTTGGTTAGAATAAATATATTGTGACAAATTTAGTACTTTTAGTGATAAATAATTTTGTTGAAACAATCGAAATTTCTTGTAATGATTTTTCTCATGGATTTTCAAATTCGATGACAAATCATTTTGAGGAGAGGGGGAATAATACATGCACCAGAGTCCATAATGATAATACATGCTTCTTTGGACTAATGTTTCAACTCGAACCTATTAGAAGAATAAAGTCTAGAAGATTCAAAGCATATCTAATCGGTAAACATAATGAGAATGAATCATTAAACGATTCTAATGTTGCTCTCTTTAATGTTTCATATTTGAGGTTGAATCTTTTTGAAGAAAGGGAGGATGATACATGCATCACAACTATCACATCAAAGGAAGACGTAATAACTCTTCCAAATGACCCTCCTCCAAGCTTTGGAAAAGAAGATCAGAATAGCAGCAGACTTGAGACGACTTTTTGAATGGGATCCTGATCTTATTTGGTTAACATGTCTTATGGAGATACGATCTTTTGTATCTTATCTTTCCATTGATTCTTTAATTATATCAATCCAATATCAGGAACTCAATTTATGACCATTTTAGTGAAGACATTGCATGCAAAACATCCTATATGGTATTAATACGTGATTTTGTAAATATTACGAATTTTTAATATTTTTATTGATTATTTGTAATATAATTTAATATATAATGATGCATTAACCTTAAGGATTATATTTATTATTTTATTATGATTTAAGGTTGGGTTAAAGCATTATTCTTAGTTTATTATTATTTTAATAGGAATTAGAGTTAAAACATATTTAGTTTGTTATCATTTTATTCATTAGTTATTTAGGACCTTTAGAACTCATCATCTATATAAAGGAGGCTTCATTTAACTTTGTAAAACAAATTTCTTTGATTAATAATACAACGAGAGTTCATTTTTGCAAGTGCTGATTGCCTTGTGCATTCGAAACTTATTCTCCTGGAGTTCTTTCGAGTTTTTGTGAGAGAAATTAATCTTCACACTCCAATTCGCCTTTTTATCACGACTAGGAGGGCATGTTAGAGTCATATTATTGAGTTTTTTCCTTTTTATTGCGATTAGAAGAGTTTGATAAGACACTTATCTATCTATTTTCCACAAATCCATCCACACCGTCATCATCTTTACTGTTCACCTTCATATGATTTCTTGGTTATCATACTTTATTTTCAATTTCTTTATATGTCGTTTATCTTGTTCTAATCTTGTTTCTTACCTTGTTTCCAACACTTAAAAGAAACTCCAAAAGACCCTAACTGCTTCCGCCACCTTCCCCTATTAATTCCCTTTGTTCTTCATCTAGTCTAAAGCTTTCTAGGTTTGATTCTTCAACAAGATCAACGTCCATTAATCTGCCACCGCTTCCCTATCACTTTGTCTCATATCCAAGTAAATTATACAAGCTAAGTTCACAATAACTACATGAATAAAGCCATCAATCAGTTGAAGAAACATAAGTAGGATTAAGTAAAATTTTTTTACTTTCAATCATGCATCAATCAAAATTCAACCTAACTCAATTCCTTACCAAGGTTCACTCAATTCACTCAATGTGTTTCGGGTGCAATTACGCCCAAGTCGAAACTAAACAAAATTTTTCATAGGCTTGTAGCATAATCAAATCTAAACTTCTTAACATAAACAAAATGCAAATATCATTGGGCCTTTGAAAAAGGTGTAATAGGGCTTAGTTGGAGGTAGGAAAAAGGCTAAAAATGAGGTTGATAATCGAGACAAAGAATGCTTCAAATAATTCAACCAATTCCACGAGCAAAGCAAAATAAATGAAACATAAACAAGATAGATAAAACGACCAAATATTCACATCAAAGACATAAAATAACATTTTTTTCATTTTTTGTTTCTATTTTTTTTTTATTTTTTTATTCTTCTTTTTTTCGCATGCTATTATTTTTTTCTTTTCTTTTTTTCCTCGTAGAACAAGGTCACACATGTTTCATTTATTTGTATCAACAAGGGTGAAAGAGAGTGAAAAACAAAAAGGCTCGGATTTTAGATGGAGGTGAAAACAAAGAAACGGATATAGGCTCAAAACAGTTTCACTAATGGAGAAGAAATGGGTAGGCTTTTTCTTAGGTAAGAATGCATAAAAATTAAGAAGCATCTCATCAAGGCTTAAAATCTCACCAAAGTGTGTTCATGCATCAAGATAGGCAAAATTTCAATCGATAAAATCAAGGAAAGTCACAATGGAGTCTATTAAATCACTACTCATGTAATTCAACTATCATGAATATCCGTACTCAAAATAATCACATGAACTTAAGCAAACACAACATACTAAAGATAATAGACGGAAGCGAAGAATTTCAGTCAAATAAAACCAATGCAAACAACCGAACAACATCACAAGACAAGGTAAAATTCTCATGAAATATTTACCTCTCACTTAAATCATATTATTCGAATACGAAAACAAAATTGAAAGTGCAAGAGAAAGGGTAAAGAAAACACCCCATGTTCATTGGCAAATTGTTCCTGTGATGAGTGTTTGGTCATACCACTGTTGTAAAGCAGGATGTTTGGCTAACCTACTGATGTTAAAGTTTCCTACAAAACCAAATTGGGTAGTAAATTAGTATTGGCATAATAAATTGTGTTTCACTATTTACCTCATCAAAAGAATAATTTTCAGCAGTGGGTATCTTTTGTGAGAGAATTGAAGTCGACATCAATTGTGATGAGTTGACAATCAACAATGAATCAGAAATCCAAGAGTCTGTTGGAACGACAGATAGTGATATCCACAGTTAACCAGAGAGATATAATCGTCGGTACCTTGATTTCACGTTCAGACCATGGTGGTTGAGTAAGGATGATGAAGCAATAAGGATCGGCCTTGTGAAGGGATACAAAACGAGTGACTATGGCGCTGTGGTGGGGGTAGAGTTCGTGGAGTCGTACGGCTGAGTTTGGAAAATAAAAGGAAGAAAGAAAGGTAGGAGATGAGTGGCGGGAGGGTATAAAATAAAGAAAAGGATTTTGTGATTAAAATAATCAAGTGGGTTAATAGGTGTTCTAAATGAAAAAGGATTGAAATGAGTGAGGTAGGACCAGGGTTTATAGAATTCACGTGGGGAAGATGAAGTGGAAAAAAAGGGGTTAAATTGGCTGACAATTAGGGTGGGTTGGTTGGGGGAATGTGAGATTTTTATAAGAATGAAATCCACATTCTCTCGTTTGGTTGGCCGATAATGTCATTCCCGGTAATCTTACATTATCAATAGTAGATTTTTTGAGGTATATTACCGGGAATGTCATTACCTTCATTTCCTTAGATATTGTTGGATTATCGACGTTTTGGACTAAAATGCCCTTAAAAAAATTTCTTTCAAATTTATCCTTATTATGTCATTGAATAGTAAAAATTCTACGAAGGTTAAATTACAAATTTATCCTTAAACTATTTTAGATTTATAAAAAAAATCTATAATTAAAATTTTATATAAAGTTCAGGGGTTAAAATAAAATTTTATATAAAGTTCAGGGGTTAAAATAAAATTTTATATGAAGTTTAGGGGTTAAAATAAAATTTTACCCTTTCATTAAACCTTTTTATATTTTTAATTTTGTAAAAAAAAATATATAAATTTTATGAATTTAAATTTTTTAAAGAAAATATATAAATATTTTCCGACTTGTTAAAAAAACAAATATGTAATAAGGAGAATTTAGTCAAATATACATTCCAATAATCTTTTATTCATTTAACCAAACATGGTAATCTTACATTCCTACTAAACCAACCAAACACAAAATACAACATTCACAGTAATCCTATTCCCTTGTAATCTTTTTTCCCACTGGTAATCTTACATTCCGTGAACCAAACGCACCATTAATGTTTTGTTGGGATTTCGAATTTTGGCTAGG